ATGTCTCTTCATACTTCAAGGGGTGATGCAATCTGCAGCTTCCTTCTCTCAACAGGTTCCTCTTCGAACGTCGTTGCTGCCTTCTTGTTCAGGGTGTGGATCGCATTTCTGCTATTATGTTCTTCGCGTTGGCGCCCAGTTGCTTTTGTTTCCAACTTGTTTTCGCCATGTTGGCGGTATCTGTGTTATCGTTTCGAGTCTGAGTCCGGCCTAGAGTGTGCTAGCTTCTGTTTTGACTTGGACTCGGGTTCTTTTTCGTTTTTTGTTGGTGGGAGCAGGGGTCTCTCGGTGGGCCTAGCTCCTGGCTCTTTTGTTTCATTTTTTCTAGTTTCTTTTCTGAAGCGTGCACTTCTTGTGCAGCTGACTTCTTTGGTTTTGTTTGGTTTTTGATTGTTCCTTTGTTGGGTTTTGATAATAAAAGTTTCACCATAATAAAAAAAACTATGAGTAACCCGTCTATATCAGTATCACATCAGCATCCCTCTCTCTTATCAAAAGCTTTTTATTGTTTTCCCTTTATTCTTTAAAGGACGATTTCTCTCTCATTTTAAGTCGGAAATAAAAAAAATTATGAGGTGTATGGTCCAGCTTCTTGAACTCCAAAAGGCTAGGGATTCATTTCTCAAACAGAAATCTAAGCAGCAATGGGTCAATAGTGGAGATACAAACTCACGATTTTTTCATTTGATGAAATCAAGGCAAGTAAAGAATACTATAAAGTAGTTACTCATAGAGGAAGGTCTAGTTCTAGAGAGCATAGAGGAGGTTGGTTTAGAAGCAATAAGTTTTTACAAGAGGTTAATGGGAGCTCCGGACTTAAAACTGAGCAGGGTTTCTGTTGACACAATTATGCAGTTGCTGAAGTTTCATTCGACAGAAGGAGGTGAGGAGTTGTGCTCTTTGATCATAGGTGATGAGATTAAGAAAGTTGTAATGGGAATGAAGAAGGGGAAAGCTCCTGGTCCTGATGGATATCCAGCAGAGTTCTTCCAAGCTCACTGGGATTTGGTTGGGGAAGTTTTCACTAAGGTCGTTCAAGAATTTTTCCAATCTGGCAAGATGAGGAAGGAAATTAATTGCACCATCCTAGTCCTTATACCAAAGGTACCAAACGCTAACTCTATGAAGAACTTTCGACCTATCTCCTATTGTAATTTTGTCTATAAATGTATCTCTAAGTTACTTGCTAATAGGCTTCAACAAGTCCTGCCACAACTAATTAGTCCCAATCAGTCTGCATTTATTTGAGGTATGCTCATTACAGACAATATTGTGCTTGCACATGAAATGGTGAAATGGTACAACAGAAAGAATGTCTCTCCTAGGTGTGCTCTTAAGATAGACATTACAAAATCCTTTGATAGTGTTGATTGGGATTTCTTGATTTGTATTTTGACTGCCATGGGAATTCCAGGGAAGTTTGTGACCTGGGTAAAGGGCTGCTTAGAATCTGTCAGTTTCTTTGTATGCATTAATGGGGGGTTAACAGGACTTTTCCAAGCAAAAAAGGATCTGAGGCAGGGGTGTCTACTTTCCCCCTACATGTTTACTATTAGTATGAATGTGCTCAGTTGTATGCTTAATAGAGCATCTGCTCATTCCATCCTACCCTACCACCCTCAATGTAACAGAATCAGCTTAACCCACCTGTGCTTTGCTGATGATCTTTTAATTTTCACTAAGGGGTCTGTGGAGGGGGTTTCAGTAGTTGCTGAGGTGCTTCATAAATTCTATCTTGTGTCAGGGTTGAGATCAACCCAAGTAAAAGTGAGATTTTCAGTGTTAGGGTCTCTGATAGCTTGAAAGTTGTATTAGTCTTGTGTTCTGGGTTCAAGGAAGGCAGTCTGCCTGTCAGGTATCTTGGATTGCCTTTGAATGTTGGGGAGCTCTCATTAGAAGACTACAAATCCCTGGTAGATAGAATTGCTGGGAGGATTATGTGGTGGCAGCCAAGACTTTTAACCTATGCAGGGAAGCTTGAGCTCGTAATGTTAGTATTAGCTAGCATGACTCGATATTGGATGAATGTCATCCTCCTGCCAAAGAAGGTAATCAAGCAAATAGAAGCTCTTTGTTCTCAATTTCTCTAGAGTGATTTTGAAAAGAAGAAAAGAGCTAAAGTTTCCTGGAAAATTGTGACCTTACCCAAAACTGAAGGAGGTATGGGGTTCAAGGATCTTTGCTCTTGGAACAAAGCCTGCCTTGCTCGTCATATTCGGGGCATACTCTTTGACCAGGACACACTTTGGATAGCCTGGATTAAGGAGTATCGTCTTCGTAACTTGAGTATCTGGGAAGTGAAAACTAGAGGGTTCTTGGGTATGGAATAAGATACTTACGATGAGGGATGATTTTGCAGGGAAACTGTGCAGAACGAATCGAGGGGTGGAATGGGAAGGTGAGAAGATGGTCAGATTTCATATCAGTAAAGTTTAGCAGAGTTTCAGGCCAAGAGATGAAATTGTGGGGTGGTCTAAGTTGGTCTGGAAGGGTGGTATCCCAAAGACCTCTACTATTACGTGGTTGATTCTCTTAGGGTGCATTACTACCTTGGATGTGGTACAACGTTGGAGTCCTGAAGTAGTAGCCATTTGTCCTCTTTGTGGACAAGAGCTAGAGTTTAAAGACCATATCTTCTTTCAATGTTATTATGTGCAGGAAGTATGGAGCATTGTATTTCCCCCGTCATGGCAGCTCCCGATTTCTCATAACTTGCAGTAGGCTGTGATTTCAGCAACTCAACGCTTCAGTAAGTGTTTGGTTGGCAAAGTCCTCTGGTGTCTTGTGTTGAGCGAGGTATGGTGAGAACGGTGTAGGAGAGTCTATGGTGGAAAGCAACTATCTGTGGGAGAGCTTGTCAAGAAGATACAGGGGATATCGGAAGCTAAAGAGATAGGTGATCTCAGGTTTGCTGCATCGGCGCTTCAATCCTTGTGGTACAAAAGTGCAGTCCTGATGTAGTGTTTGTGCATAACTACAAGTATTACAAGTAGGTCACGTTTTCTTTGGTTTTTTGGGTTTTTTGTTTTGTTGAGGGCTAGTGGCGGTTTTGTTACAGCTCGTCTTTTGTAATATTGTACTTGATTGTATTTGATGAATAAGATTTCACCCACTCATCGAAAAAAATTAATATTTTTTGCACAGATAAATCAGATTAATTGTGCTCTTTAAAATGATATCCACTTTGATATATTTTTAGAAAAAAAAATTGAGGCATTTTTTACCAGTCAATACAATATGGTATTAAATAAGAACATACCATATGGTAAGAAAGCGTACCATGATGGTATGAACATACCAAGATTGTAGAAAGGTTGAATACATGATAGTAGGAGTATACTAATTGTCATTTACGACTTTTATCATTGTTTATCACAAGTTACCACCCCCATACTAGAGTGGTAAAGTATGACACAATTTTTGGTCTTGTATTTTTTTTCACCCAGAAATTCGTAGATCCAATAGATCATTATGAACTCGTTCATTCTAAGCAAATATTTTCAAAAATGACCTAAAAATGAAGAAGTTACCATATGGTATAGAGTTGGTAACAGGAGATATAAAAAAAATTCTAAAAAAAATTGAAAATTGATCTCATTTTTTAGAGCACAACGAACTCGTTCCATGTGTGCAAAAAAATTGAAATTCGAGTTAGAACGAAAAAGTTAAGAGTCGATTAATAAAACTAGGGAAAATAAAATGCGTTTAATTCAAAACCTTTAGCTCTGGATTTTCTAGGCCCACTTAGATCTAAATGTCCAAATTTATTTACTTATACGTCAATAACCAATGATTACTCACCGTATCTTCAGCGCAGTAGAAGGATCCTTTTCTGGAAAATTTACGAGTCTTCATAATGAAAAACAAAAACTTGAACTCCTATCTCAACTTTCATTATCAAAACCTAAATGATCATCAATTTTCTACGTGATATTAATTTTACCTACGAATTCAAGAAATATCAAAATTTGAATGGATCCAATCATCATGAACTCCATTTAATTATGTAAATTAAGGCACAACCATGAATTTGCTTTCCATGTCAACTTTAGGCTCTCCTCCCTTTCCTTTCCTTTCCTTCCCCCACCCCAATCGTTTGTTTTCTTTTTCTTTCGGTTGCTTTTTTGGGGCAGCCCAACTTTTATGAAAAACTTGCTGACAAGTATGGGGTGTGGGATCTCGCCATTATACCGACCGAGTGACTTGGTAGTTTCTTCTGCCTCCCAGCCACGAAGAAGAATCATTAAGACAGCAGGCATGCATGGTAGGCATTCATCAGAAGAAAGCTGAAGCTTGAATGATTCGGTTAAAGGAGGACTTCAAGGGGAAGCTACCATTACCATATTGTACGTACTTGGTTGGAAAAAACTTAAAATCTGTGGACTTCTTGGAAAATTGAAAAGTGGGGAGTTTTGATGCTTTTACTTTCGACTCAATGGATCCTCCTATGGGCATCACGGGGCTGGCGCCGTGGTTTCAATTTGTGAGAACGTACTCACAGGGGTGCATGGTTATCAGATTGCGCTTTGGATGGATGCTCTGTGGTTGGTGAATGGATGTAGTGACAATTTGTAAATAGAATGTGACGCGTACCAATCCAACATTCTCGAAGAGATCAACGCACGCATCGATGGCTCAATGACTCTGTGAGTAGGTTCTCAAAGACGCCCTGTGAGCACGATAGTCGGATTGGTTAAAATTGATGTAATTCTAAAATGTTATTTTGATGTCTAAATGCTATTCACATTGTGCATGACAAATTGAAGTCTACGAATGAACATACACTAGCAAGAACACTTGTGATTACCTAAAAAGCAAGTACTCTGTCTGGGCTTCAGTTTGCAGACCGCCTAAATTCCTCGATGAGCGGCCAGCAGAACCAAATTCCAACCCCTAAGAAATATACCCTGGGGGGAGGCCGGAGGGGGAACTTCTTGCTTACTCTGTTACTGAGAGCGATTTACTAAGCAAATCAAAACCAACGTTAGTGTCAATGGCTCCTCACTTAGGAATTCTCAGCCACTTTGCCAACATGCCTTCTAAAACCATAAGTAGAGGCAATCGGATCCAAAGCAATCATATTATTACAAACTGCCTTTTATTATTAGTACGCAGTCGAACCAAATGCTTAAAATGACACCACGGCTGCTGCTGTTATTACTGATTGTCGCGGGATTCACTGGAACTGAAGTTGCCATTGCCGATGGCGAGTACTTGATCGGCACGGGCAGCCACGACATGACCGGCCCGGCAGCTGATGTTAACTTGATGGGTTATGCGAACATCAACCAGAATGCAGCCGGGATCCATTTCCGGCTACGAGCTCGGACCTTCATCGTCGCCGAAAGCGAGACGAGGGGGTCGAGGTTCGCTTTCGTCAACCTAGATGGATGCATGGCGTCCCAGCTCGTTACCGTTAAAGTACTCGACAGATTGAATTCCAGGTATTGATACATATATTCACTTAAATTTCGGACTAAATTGTAAGATTCATGACTAAAAAAAAAAGGTTACGAATTTGAAAATCACAATACTATTCTAACTACTCACACTAATTTGTGACAAATTAGTCGCTCCATCTAACTAGAATCTGATCTATTGAATCTAAGACTCTCCGAAGAATACCTTTAGATTTGAACTCGACTTGTAAGATTAGCTCCGTACCAACGAGCAAACCCGCGAACCCAGATTCCAACCTATTCTCGAATTGGAAAGGATTAAGTAACAAACTAGATGCTCGTGATTGAAGGTTTGGAAATCTATACACCCAAGAAAACGTGGCGATCAGCGGCACTCACACCCACGCCGGCCCCGGTGGCTATTTGCAGTACGTGCTTTACATCGTCACTTCTCTTGGCTTCGTCCGACAATCGTTCGACGCTATCGTCGATGCAGTTGAGCTCAGCGTAGTCCAGGCTCACAACAATCTGAAATCCGGCTCCATTTTCATCAACACAGGCAAAGCGTTTTTCCCCTACACAAATTCATTCAGTCATTTCATCGAACACAAAGGCCACACAATCGATATCAGTTTCCAACTCTCCCCGCTTGATTTTGTCCACAGGAGACGTAGAGAACGCGGGAATCAACAGGAGCCCAAGCGCTTACCTCGCCAACCCACCGGAGGAGAGAGCGAGTTACCAGTCCAACGTCGACAAGGAGATGACCCTTCTGAAGTTCGTCGACGCGGCTACCGGGAAGAGCGTCGGAGCATTCAGCTGGTACGCCACCCACGGCACGTCGATGTCCAGAGACAACAAGCTCATCAGCGGCGACAACAAAGGGGCAGCCGCAAGGTTCTTCGAAGATTGGTTCGCCTCCAACTCCTCCTCGACCGCAGCCGGGAAACCAAGCCCCTCCGCCGCCGTGAACATCGACAAATTGGTCGCCAAGGCAGGAACAGTCAAAGCCACCGGCGGGGAAACTTGCCGGGAAACGACCAGCCAGGGGTTCAAGGCGAGGAAGGACAGGGAATTCGTCGGAGCTTTCTGCCAATCGAACGTCGGCGACGTGACGCCGAACGTTCTCGGAGCATTCTGCGTCGACACAGGAAAGCCTTGCAATTTTAATCGTTCTTCTTGTGACGGGAACGACCAGCTCTGCGTTGGCCGTGGGCCAGGGTAAAGTCAAAGCCCTGAATTCCCGATGAGCTTAGCTCGTTGCTTGTGCTAATTTGGCGCCTCTTTTGTGTACTTCTTTTATGCTCTCAGGTATCCGGATGAGACTTTGAGCACTAAGATCATCGGCGACAGGCAATTCAAGAAGGCAGCAGAGCTATTCACGTCGGCGAAAGACAAATTACGAGGTAAGATCGATTATCGTCATGTCTACCTGAACTTCACGAATCTTGAAGTTCAGGTAGAAGGCAAGGGCACGGTGAGGACGTGCCCGGCTGCTGTTGGACCAGGTTTTGCAGCAGGGACGACGGATGGACCTGGAGCGTTTGGGTTTCAACAAGGAGATACAGAGGTCAGGAAATGAGCTAGATCTTGTATCATTTCTAAAAGTGAAGCTCATCAATTATACAATGTGAGTCATCTTTTTGCAGATCAATCCATTTCTGAAGATGGTGAGAGACTCCATAAAAAAGCCAAGCCAATATCAGGAAGATTGCCAAAAACCCAAACCGGTTTTGCTCTCCACGGGAGAAATGTTCGATCCTTATCCATGGGCGGTAAGCCAACATTGCTCTCATTTGCCACTGCAGAAGGGAAAGATACCTCATTTTCTAAGCACAAACAAAACAGTCTCATCCAACAGCTAATGGGTGCATAGAAAAGATAGTCCCTGCAATCCTAGCTGAAAATGCAAATGTGCAGAGACTATAGTAGAACCGAGTTTAACTAGTCCTCATAAGCATTAGTTAGAACTTTAGAGTAAAGAGAGCTAAGATTCTGAACTACTTTCATGATGCAGCCGGCGATTCTTCCTGTACAGATACTTAGGCTAGGGAAGTTGATCATACTCTCAGTGCCAGGAGGTTTGCATCCTTTCTAATCTCGTAAATTTTACACTGTTAAGATAGAAAGAACTCAAAGAAGCAAAGATAACTTAAGAAAGGGTTCTGAAACCTGCAGAGTTCACAACAATGGCTGGTCGGCGACTAAGAGAGGCGGTAAAGGCGACACTAATAGCCAATGGGGAAGGAGAATTCGATGACAACACCCATGTTGTGATTGCTGGCTTGACCAACACTTACTCCCAATACATCTCCACTTTCGAGGAGTATCAACGTCAGAGATACGAGGTACGATTCAAACACCAAACTCCTCAGTCTTTATAGTCATTAATTATCCTATCATTTGATTGCATAATAAAATCATCGAAAATGTGTGCAGGCAGCATCAACGCTCTACGGGCCTCATACACTATCGGCATACATCCAGGAATTCAACAAACTTGCAAAACAAATGGCTAGAGGCGAGAGGAATAGTAACGCATCCACGTTATCCCCACCTGATCTTTCGTCCGAACAGCTCGGTTTGTTGATTGAGCCACTAGGGGAGTCACCACCAGATGGTATTAAATTTGGTGACATTAAACAGGACGTAGCTCAATCGAAAGATGGTCATTTCAAGAAGGGAGATCGAGTCAGTGCCAACTTCTGGAGCGCCAACCCTAGGTACGATCTACTAACAGAAGGAACATTTGCTGTGGTGGAGATGCTTCAAGGGGGAGGGAAGTGGGTTCCAGCATTTGATGATGATGATTTCTGCTTGCTTTTCAAGTGGGGAGTTGATAATAAGACTGGTTCTAGCTTGGCAACTATAGAGTGGGAGATTCCTAATGAAGCGAGTCCTGGTGTCTACAGGCTAAGGCACTTTGGTTCAGCAAAGGAGACTGTAGTCTCTGCTGTTGGCTACTTTACTGGTGCTTCCAAAGGATTTGCAGTAGCTTAAACATGGCGCGAAAGAAAATGTGACCATGTAGTAGGTAAAGAAGCACCCAAGAATCCATGTATTTTATATGTAAAGAAAGGGTATCGAGTTCGAGCATATGATAAAATCAAGACTCTCTCTACAAGCCATCTGGTACTAGACAATTAAGTTAACATGAAGAGCCCTAATGAGCTCATATAAACATGCTTATTGGGGTTAGGAAACGCTTTATTCTGTTGCTTCGTTTCATGTTTTGAACATCACCAATCATATTACAAACGTTTGAAAAGTAGGAAGTATGAAAAATTCACTTACTGAGACAAATAGTTTGTTGCAGAAAGGAACTGGTGAAAATCAAGCCTTACCTGTCCATCCACATGACACAACGGAGAGACTTGCCTTCGATGAGCAGATCGAAGGCTGTGTTGATCTCTTTGAAATCCAATTCATGAGTCACAAATTTATCTAGCTGAAGATCCTGAAAAGAAATGCACGAGTATAACCTTGTAAGTTCTTGTCAAGTTCCAACACGGCCTATTTAACCATTTAATTTTATGGAATACAAAATAGATACTGCGGGTATTGGAAATGAAGAGAGGAGGATCCAAATCAAATTGAAAAGTCATCCAATCAGATATGATCTAATCGAAACCAAAAAATATTATGAAATTAGAGGATGGAACCCAAATCTAACAATGCATCCATCCAATCTAGTCTATTCCAAATATCAATTTAATCCAAACAGGATCATTCCCAACCCTTACGATCAAGTAAAACCATATATGAATCTCAATCTACTTAGAAGGGAAAGGGGTAAATGCAACTTTACCTTGTCTATAGAATGTTTTAAGAGAATTGGAATATCAGACTTGGGTTTAAGACCTCCAAAAAGTGACCCCGTAAGTATTTTCCCAGAGCGAAGGACATCGAAGCATTGGAGCTTCATCTCGGACATTGGTCTCGCAACTCCCAGGACAACTGTTTTCCCCCATCCCTATGTATTTACCACAAGCAACAAAAGGACTCTTGATGAAAAACATTGGTAACACAGAAAGGAAAGCATGAAAAAGAGGGAAATACATGGTTTTGGCAGACCTTTTGGCAACAAGCATATGCTTCCTCCATTAAGGATGGCAGACCAACACATTCAAAGCAATAGTCTGCTCCTCCTTCTGTCATCTCATTAATCACCTGGTGGTCAGTTAGAAGAACAAATGAGATTGACCACGTCTATACATCAAAGCATATCGTAAACAAAACAAACGGAGAGAATGACCTTTTCGAACTCTATCTGTAACTCACTAGAGGCTCGGGAAACAAAGAGAATAAATTTGACTCCTGTTATTACCCTTTGAATGTAGATACGATGTTGGATTTAATGTTAACTAGGGCGTAACAAAAAGGTAAATTTTTCTCAATATTACATAATAATATTTCCAAAGAGTTGATGGTTGTTCTTCTAGTAACGCTAAGCATGTAGGCATCTAAAGTGAAGTCCTTACAGTTCAACCTCAAGATAGAAATGAATGGTCAGAGATCAACCTGGCTCAAGGGTTTGTCTCCACAATCTGCAGGATTGACAAACTCTGTGATTCCAAACTTTTTCCCTGAATGAACACAAATTAAGAACAGGTAAATGACATACATCACAATCCATTTCTATGCAAATGAAAGTCCAACATCTTAAAACTTTGCCAAGAAGTTTATCTTAATAAGATCTCACCAATTTCAAACTTCTCAGGCTTCATATCTACGCCTATGATTCTAGCAGCACCACGTATCCTTGCACCCTCAGCAACCTAAAAAAGGTTTGAGCAAAAAAAAGAAAAACCTAAACCAAACTCGTCTACTAACTCAATTGATGAAAACTTATTCCCTCCTAAAAAATTACATTACCGCTAATCCAACTGAACCCAGCCCAAAGATCGCCACCGTCGATCCTTCTTCGACATCAGCAGTTCTCCATGCAGCACCCACACCTAAACATCCCAATCGCCACACGGATTCGTTAGAGAGATCGGCATAAGCATCAATTTAACTTTTTTCTGAATGGTTCGAGCTACTCAATTGAACTGAACCCCCAGCACAGTAATTGAAAAGAACATGAGAAAAGGAAACCCTAATCTTCTTTGATTGCATTTTTCGAATTACCAGTGGAGACGCCGCAACTGAGCAGGCACGCACTGCTCATCTGGATGCCGTCCGGATCGATCTTGGTGAGATGAGCGACGTCCACAACAGTGTACTCGCTGAAGCTGGAGACGGAGAGGAAATGGTAGATAGTGTTCCCGTCGAGGTCCGTGAATCGGCTGGTGTCGTCTCTCGGCATCCATGGAGAGACCTTGAACGGGAACTTGGAGCAGAGATTGCTCTTCTTCGATCGGCAACCCGAGCATTCCCCGCAGTCGGAAAGGAAGACGGGGATTACTGTGTCGCCTTCGCTGAACTCGGTTACTTCAGCTCCGACGCTCTCCACTATCCTGTAGAGATTAACTGGAGAGTTCAATTTTGGGGTGCCTTTCACTGGGATGCTCAAATGTTTGAACTTTCCCGGGCTTTTTTCTTCTTTTTTATATCATTTGTGGGCTTGTGATCCGCTAACAACAGAGGGAGCCTTGGGCTTATCTTTGGTTCGCTACAAAGACCGATGGCCCGAGTTCTGAGTGTGACCCAATTAAGGAATTACGCATCTTGACCCCAAATTATCATTTTTGTCCTAACTCCTAACCAAAATTGCAATAACGTGATATTATTTGAATTGCTCAAATGTTTTTTTTTCGAATTAACAAACTCCTTCACCAAGTCAGCGTTTCAATTTTTCTCTGCCAAAATTTCATTCAATAACTAAATATAGTGCACGTATTCATATTTTCGTACAAGATACATTAAAATTGTCCATGTAGTTTGGAATAATGATAAGCATGTCCTTCTGTTAAAATTTTCATCCAAAAATCGTTAATTATGATCGAATTTTGGTTTGGGCAACACAAATATCTAAAATCAATGTAGTCAAAATCACGCTTTAAAACTTAAAAACTTACGATTTTACGTTTCTAGGTCACTACAACGCTTTTACATAAAATCTCAGTTTTTATAACTTATGTAAGTAAAAACTCCATTTAAAACTTAAAAACTTACGATTTTACGTTTTTAGGTAACCAAAACGTTTCTACGTAGAAACACGTTTTTTACTACATTGTCTAAAATATCCCTAATAATTTCGCTTTAGATTTTTTGGTTCTTTTGTATAACCAAATAATTCTAATAATTTCACTTTGACGAGACCAAGAGAAATAAAACAGAGAAAAAATGGACATTTTCCCTCCCATTTGCATATGTCGGGTCGTCTAAATCTCAGTTCCACCATGATTGACGATTTTTTCAATGAAAATTTTAACATAAGGCATGTTTGATTATGTTTAAAAAATACAAAGGCATTTTTATGTAAAAATAATAGAGGAGCATGTTTACCAAAATGACATACTAGGGCATATTGTACCTATGAGGCTATGACCCATTAAAATTCATGTTATTGTTTTATAATAGAGTCATCTGTTTATTTGATATTTATGCTCTGTAAAAAAAACTTTCAATATGAAAATAAATTGATAAGTTTAATGATATATATATTTTACACCCAATTTTTTGGTACATTTAATGCATTCACCCATAATCATTATTATTATTATGAACAGAAGATTTATGTAAAAACGATGTCATTTGATTTGAAGATTTTAGTATTTAGGGATTAGAATTAGGGTTAGGGTTTATAATTTGAGGATTTTTTTTTTTTGTCTTCAAAATTGAAAGTTAAGGAATTAGAATAATAAATTGATTGATTGTGATGCTATATTATATCGTTATATCAAATTATAATGCTATAAATTAAGCTATTTTGGAATTAGGTGCATTGAATGCACTACAAAGCTATATATATTCACTTTTATATTTCTAATTATATATTTTATAATTACCGTCAAACTTTTAGCTACTGTTATATAATTCACGTTCAGCGGACCTTTTTCTTAATTTCGTCACTCTTTGTCATTATCCAGGGGTAGCATTCAGCGAATAATGTCACACAAATTATGTTAATTCAATTAATATAACAGGTATGTTTTCGTCCACATTATAGCACTAAAGGACGAGACTAATGTTATATTGAATAAACAAAAAACGTGAAGGGATAATGCGACGCTCCAAAACTCGTCAACGCGCAGGGGAAATCCCGCCGGCGGAAGAAAAGGCGTAAGTCGCCGGCCGGCCGGGTAAAGAATAATAACGTACCCGATCGCTTCGTGGCCGAGAATCCTGGGCGTAATCCCAGGGAAATCCTTCCTCTTCCACAAATTGATGTCGCTCTGGCAAAGCGACGTGCAGACGATTCGAATCCGAGCTTCGTGCGCTCGCGGCGGAGCCACCATTACCTCCTCCATCACCAGCGGCGCTCCCGCCTCGCGACAAACAGCGGCTGCGTTCACGTTCACAACCGTGCTAGTTAGTAAAATTGATTAACTGAATGATTTAGAGGAATGGTCGGGTCGGATTCTGATGTACCTAAGTACCTTTGCATCGAATAGGTTCCCTGGCGGTGGATGGTGGAATCTGAGTGCCCATTGTCGTTTGCCGCTTCAGTTGGAGAACTCGGACTAACGCTACAGAAATGTATTTGGAGCTTGAGAGAAATAGCAGTGGATCGCTGAGAATGACAGAATATGCATTGACCCGGAGGGAGGGAGGAGGAGTAGACAAGACTTGCAAATGTGGGGTTAAGTACATACAAGTCATCCATTTTATTCTTCACTAGTTTTTACCCGGCCGTTGGCCGGGAAATTTCATTTTATTAATAATATTAATTAATTTATCTTTATGTTTAATTTTTTGAATTTTATAGATATTTTATTTTCTCGCTTCATAAGTGAAGGTATACATGTCTATATTGAAAATTCTTAATACTTAGTAGTTAGCACACTTACTTATGTTGTTTTGATTCATAAATCATATTGTTGTGAAGGTTTGTCACGTCCCATTTAGTATCATATATTAATATTTTTCAACCAAAACACTCAAATTTATTATCTTATACAACATATATCAATACGTGATTCTCGAGTTTTGACACACTCTCAACAATTAATGAGTGTTCAGATTATTGGATAAAGATACTTGATTACCCGATAAATTATGTCTATCCCGACTGAAACTTGACACGCATCGTACACCCTTATGATGATCAAATGCTACAATCATGACTCATGTTAATTGTGGATGTTCATGAAGTCTCACTGTAGGATCTTATGATAAAATTTGTCTATCAAGACACTCAAATTTAGTGCAACATTCCGAACCTTTTCTGACGAATATATTGTCCGCTTTATGCCTCGACCCTCACGGTTTTCGACTTGGGGTGCAATGCAAGGTGACTTCCCATAGGGTATCATATTATACCCTAACCTCTAATGGGTGATCCCCCAGTTCCTAAATTTCTAACCCAAACCATGAAATTTTGTTAATCTTAAAATGAAAATCAACTATAATTTCGATTAATCAGAATTGTTGATTTTCATTTCAAGATTAAATAAATCTTATGCTTTGGGATAGTGAATTGGGACTAAGGTTCACGCATTAGGGGTTAGGGTATAGTATCATGCACCAAACTCCGATTAATTCGTTGTCTAAATAACAATACTCAACGGGCGTATTGTAAGGTAAGTGTATGCTCAGGTGTATGCTAGCCTTTGTAATATACATAGAGTTTAGTTTACTTTTAACACTAATCAATACCTTCGAACTCAACTCATTGGCTGAATAAAAAGAGTTTGTGGCTAAGGTAACTCGATGTAAATACAAATTTCTTACTCTTACAAACTAAAATATTTTCATTTTGAAACTTTGATATCGGGTAATTTTACTGCCAAAATTTGTATGGAGTCAGGCTGACAACCATATAACCAAATGAGTTCTTACAATTGTCTTACTGAACTCGTCCTTGTTAAAGATTCATCATATTAACCAAATGCCTCGGTTTAGAGTATTGTTACTATATTATTTATTTATTTATTTATATATATATCAAGCAACACAATGATAGATTTGTCTCTCAAGACATTTTAAACAACAATTTCCAACCCTTATTTAATTATTGCAGGGTCAGGGGTTGACGAAACGTGATCCTTAACGTACATCCTCAACAAAGATTTCTAACCTTCACACATGTCATTCTCATCCTGGAAAATGAAGTCAAAGTACGTCAACAATCATACTTAAGTCATTTTGAAAATTTCGATTTATTATCCTCGATTATTAATGACTCGAGCTTGCTCAATGAACATGATCTAGAGCATTAATATATGATGTAAACTTAGGATAAATTATAAATTCTTGCACATGTGATTCCTAAGTTTTTCACTTGATCACAATGAATAAGAAGATTTTTTAAGAAATTAATATTATTTTTTTGTCAAGTTTATAATTCAGATTTTTTTTTCTCTCTTTCAATCATTATATTTTGTTCTATTGACAAAATATTATCATTATTATTACTATCGATTAATACAAAATATTATTATTTATGTGTGTTTGTTTAATTTTTCATCAAAATGTAGAAAATTTACTTGATAAGATTTAAGTAGATATTTTTAGTTTAAAAAATATAATATATGTCACTCTCTGTTTTCATTTTTATATTGTGTTTAATTGAAATAAGTTTATTAATTATGTGTGTTTGTTTAAATTATTCATAAAAATGTAACCTATTATTAAGTTTTAGATAAAAAAAAAGTATAAAACTTACTGAGTAAGATCTAATAATTTATTTTTGGGTTTAAACAAATGTGATATATCATATATGTCACTTTTCAAACATTAGTCTACTACAATGTACATTGGTATAATTCAAAAGCACAAAAAAAATTATTGGATAAAAGAAAAGGAAATATTCAATGAAGAGAGAGATAGCTTCATAAATATATCAATAATTATTTTTTTGTTTGTAAGAGAATTGTCCACCTTGGCAACTTGTGAGTTCTCCAAGTGCTTATGTGGCAAAAAATTACATTTGAATTGTCATAATATTATGTATAGATTATTAAGTTTTAGGTGAAAAAAGTATAAAACTTACTTAGTAAGATCTAATAATATATTTTTGGGTTTAAACAAATATGATATATCATATATGTCACTCTTCAAACATTAGTCTACTACAATGTACATTGGTATAATTCAAAAGCACAAAAAAAAAATTATTGGATAAAAGAAAAGGAAATATTCAATGAAGAGAGAGATAACTTCATAAATATATCAATAATTTTTTTTTGTTTGTAAGAGAATTGTCCACCTTGGAAACTTGTGAGTTCTCCAAGTGCTTATGTGGCAAAAAATTACATTTGAATTGCCATAATATTATGTGTAGATTACCGTTTCAATCGCTTGGAAAAAAAGTTTGTTTGATGTTTTGCGCACTTTTAGAGGTGTTCAAATGGTTATTATAGTAATTATCAAATCGAATAAGTCTAAATTCAATTAATTATGGAATATAATATCAAAATCAAACCGACCAAACTAATACAAAAACCCAATTAATCGTACTAAAATTTGATGTTTTGGTTAATTGGTTAACTAGATTAACCAATATAACATAACATTATCATTATGTGAAAAAAATATCATGATAATTAATTCATCCATAATTTATATAATGAGTAGACTAACGCGCATAGTTAACTCTTAATGTAAATAAATAAATTTAATAAAATTATATTACAATCATTAGATTTAGAAGTAGCCACCTAGCAAAGATATATACTAATGATATGGGATTGATGAATTGGGTGTGTCTTGTGAATTGTTTTAGTCTCTTAGCAATTATCGAACGATAAAAATCCTCACCTTTAAACTTTTCATCTAATATAATGTATGGAGATTAATCTGAATTGGGTGCCCATATATCATTGTCTATTATCTATAAGAACTATACAAGACAGGAACAATAGTTATCTTTATTTTTTGGCGAAATATACCTGGATAGCCATAACTATACATTTTGTTACAATAATAATCACTTTTTGGAAAATATATAGATATAGACATTCAATCAATAGCTTTAACGTCATTAAAATAAATGCTGGCTAGATATTACATGTCAATTTTTCGTCAAAATTCATACCACGTGGAAATTATCATTTTTTGTTTTAATTAACTGAAAACCCCAAAAGCTATTTTACTTCCGCTGCTTATACTTCTTTCCCTTCCCTCTCTCAGATGCGTACCTCAACCGCCACCACCGTACTCCGCCGACAACTTCTTCTCCCTCTCCGCTACTGCAGACACTGCTCGATTAGATCAGCGACGTACTCTCCCTCTTCCACGTCTCCTCTCTATCCGTCAATTCATTCGTTAGCCGAAGGGAGGTTGTCCAATCCAAGCTAATTTCCCTCCAATCATCTTTAGCCTCCTCTTTGATTCCCTTCACCGGTCCCCGCTACATTACAACCCACTGCCTATTCCCTCCAGTCATTTCTTTCCTCCTCCCACCCACTATTAGAAACAGAGACAAAAATAATACTCCCACCCTATTCAAACCTTCAATCCCTAAGAACAAAACATTTTTTATCTTGCCTCCCGCACCTACTATTTGTAACTAGGGTTGGGAATCTGGACCAAAGCGTATGACAAACCGCGATTTAGACCGTATCGTATGGTTTGGTCTAGACCTCGAGACCAGGAACACAATTTGGTCTGGTCCATGGTCTGTCCCTTTAGCTTGCAGTTTGTGGCGGTTTGGTATGGTCTAAACCGCGGTTAATCGTCCAGACCGTGAGCTCAATTACTACTAATGTGGGGTTGTGTGGACTTGGTGTGATCTCCGTCCATACCTTCTTCCTCGGAGAAATTCCAACGAAAGAGAGCAGCTTTGATCTGAAAAGCTAAGTCACCCAAACAAACTTTTGAAATATGTTGTGTTAAACGTTGTGTGGAATTATACTAGTGGGCCAACACAATGTCATATTGTTTACTGTGTATTTCATATACAATCAGCATGATTCGATAATCTTAGCCTCCTGCTTATTGCAATTTTGAACACATCATTCAACAACATTAATCATTTACATGTCTCGTGCAAACTAATCTATCATTTACACCTTCCTCCATCTTCCTATGTTTTGTTTACATTTCTACTGCACTTGAGAATGAGAATTTGTGGATATAAATTCATGCTTATGAATTTGTGCAATTATATTGGAAATGATATTGGATTGTTACTATTTTGCATATATATGTTGGTGATTTTTTTTAATATGATTTATGGTATGGCCCGCACCGGACAACAACCGCACAGGCATGCTTTGGTCTGGACCGTAGACCGTATATATGGTCCGTTCTGGACCGTTTCACACCCCTATTTGAAACAGAGCCACTAAATCGCCAAATCTATATACACAGATATTATGATTCCTTAATCTCACTTACCCTTCTTAGATGATACCGCGTACCACGATAGATGGTTAGAAAACCCAAACTATTTGCATAACCAACATCACATAAATAATAATAACTTTCAATACATGAACAATTTTATTTGTTATTGGGTAGTTCATTTATAAGCATTTCGTATCTGATCATTAAACATAACCATGATTACCTTCTGTCATTGTAAGTCCATTTTCCCTAGTAAGGGGATCACGTAAAATTATTGCATCATGGGCAGACCCCTCCCATCCTGATAAATTTCAAGTTGGGTGTACAAACACGCAACACATTAATTGAAAGATCACCCTTCCTATCTCAGTACCTAGTTTGATCCTCTTTTAATGGTCGGACATTAATATGAGTTCCATCTAGAGCTCCAAGACATTTCTAACAA